TGAGAAAGGTGGTGATGGAGGCTGGAGGTGATACGTTGGTGAGAGAAAGCAGAGCTAGTGAAGAGCCCAGATGTAGGGCTTTGGAGGAAAGATGGGAGTCATAAACAAAATGCCAAGATTCTGCACTGGTTCCATGAGTTGGAGTGAGCATCCATTGCAAGTTGATATGATTAGTGCCTGAGATGAAGAGGTGTTGATGGGACTCAAGCAGGAGGGACTTGATATTGTTATAATAATAATAATAATATCCTTGTATTTGATATAGCGACTTATCGCGCCTTTTAGACCTCTCAAAGCTCTTCACAGAATGTACTGTAAAGTAAATTGACTGCATGTTTTGCGAGCCAAAATTGTTGACATTGACTGTAGAAAGTGAGAATTCATCCAACTCTTGATGTCTGACAGGCAATTAATTAGTCAGAACAGCATTGGTCTTAGAATTGAGGATAGAGACAAAGGGATGGAGTTGAGTGTTATCTGTATACATGTGGAACTGAACCCCATGTCTACAGATGATGCCACCAAAAATACAAGGAAGTATTAAATATCTTGAAATGCTGATCTTAAGAACTGGTCCAATCAATTCTGTTTTATCCACGAAAGATTAACTATTTTATTACAATTTGTATTTTGAACACTGTGTGACTATCAAAGATTTTTTTTATTGTTTTGCAATGCTAATGGGCTTGATGAGACCTTGGCAGCTGATTCCTTACAGTATTTACCAAAATCTTTGATTTATATTGTACGCCAGATCCTCCTATCTTCCTCCAATTTTAACCTTCCCAGAAAACAGTGAGTCATACTAGCTTTGTCCTCAGTCAGTCTGCAAGTTTGTACACCCACGTCCAACAGTACTCCTAAAGCCAGTGACTGCAATTTTTATCGAGATTTTTTTAACCATTTAAATGCAAGTAGATGACAATAACCTCCGTCAGCCAGAAGCTAACGCCAGCAACTGACCCCGTCAGTAGCTTGCAACGACCGTTCGGTGTAGCTGCATAAATCTGTCTGAGTGACATGGAACAGCATTTTGCAGTGCAGAAGCAAAGCAATAGCTCAGAACAAGATGCTGGAAGGATGCCAAGATTTTGCCTGCCTGCCTGCCTTTCAGAGGTCTTTGCGGTTTATGACTGAGTCAATGGAAAATGTGAATTAATTCAATCTAGGTTGCATTCTTTTGTGTGATAAATAACATCAATATCTCTACTTGCGCTGGTTGAAGAAGTGGGAATTATTTTTTTGGTAGGTTACCTCAATAAGTGCAACAAGAAGCCACGCATTTCCTCAGCCACATATTCGACATTCTTCATCAGACCACACTGGCATGTTACAGTCAGAAGCAGCACAAAATGGAAGCCTTTTTGCAACACTCACAATCCTGCACATATCACAAGCTGTTTACCCAGTGAGTTTCAGTTTCACCGGCCATGCAACGATTTGCAAAAGGCCACCTTTGTGGTATTAAATATGAAATATTGGGTTTTTTTTAGATGGGGATAGGGGATGGTGGGGGTGGAATTGGTTGTGAAAAACATTGCAATATGCTGACTGGTTTGAAATTTCCTTTGAGAAAAAAGTACCAGCAAGGTATAATGAGATTTTGTCTCTGCTCTTCATACTCGCTGGTAGAAAGTGAACACTGCAGTATGTTCAGCTCTTGACAGCATCTCAATGGCAGTTAAAGCAATAGCTGTCACATCTTGACTCATGATTGCAACATTGAGGATAATGCGTTAGATTTTTTCATTTGTCTTCAGTGAGTTGTGCGGCTATTAAAAACTTGAAGCGAGTCCATCTTTGGTCCATAGGTAGCTCGTGATACCTGCACTGTTGTTAAAACAAGAGCATAGCATGGGTGGTGTGGGGAAATGCGATCAGACTTGCAATATCTGTTTCTAACGATTGCATCTCACAGTTGACATTTGATCAAATGGAGGCGTTTACATTTTCTGATTCCATTCAAGTCTAAAGCCTAAACATTTGGGGTTTTTTCCCCTCCCCCCTCTATCTCTTAATGACAGAATAAAGAGCAAATAATATCCTGCTTCAGCAGAATTTAAAAAACAACTTGACATCTCCCTGTCCTCTTCCCCCACTCCCTGCATTTCACCCACCATTCAGTGTATTCACTTTACAGTATATTCTGTGAAGCGCTTTGAGACGTCTCGAAGACTTGACACTATATCAAGTGCCAGGATTATTATTATTATTATTACCTGTAGCAAACAGAACGATTTGTTTCCTCTTCGGAAGATTCCCTCAGTCTGAGCTAGAACTGTGACATGTGGGATGTTCTAGGCATTTCCAGACTCACAACACTCTTGTGGGACTTGTAGTGAAGCACCTCGACTCAAAGAGAAAATGTCAAGAAAGATACTTGCTTAAACTCAGTTTTGTTTGTCTTGTAACCAAATTCTGTGGTTGTCTGTAGAATAACGGACATTGGGAGGTGAGCTGCAGGCATTCAATTGAGAGGAGCAACAGATAACTGAAATCGAGTATCAATCTGGGTGTCCTCTAACTGAGAGATCAGACAGTTAATGTCCCAGGAGTGAGATACAGCCTGTAAACTAATCAAGGGATTGAGATGGTATCACAAACTATGAAGCTGAAGCTAAAACACAATCTCAGCAACTTTGTTCCTGTTTGACATGTTTTGAACACTAAATCCCACCCGTTATACACCTTTGTTGAGGAGGAGCTTCAGCCAGATATGAGGCTTTTTCAGTGCCAGCTACAAAGCCTGAAAAGGTTGTGGAAGGAGACTCAATAACAGCTTTCAAAAGGGAATTGGACAGGGACTAAATTTGCAACGATATGGGGAAAGAGCAGGTGAGTGGGACTGATTGGGTAACTCTTCCAAAGAGCTGGCACAGGCACGATGGGCCGAATGGCCTCCTTTTGTGCTGTAATATTCTATGATTCTACGATCCTTTATGATCATATTAAAAAAACCCTCTCTGGACATTCCCAGGCTGAACTGGCTGAGGGTTAATGCTAAGGGAGGGACATTACCGGTTATCAGCTCTACCAGTACAAAGATGTGCCGTATGTGGATGTGGAAGGAAATGGTGTTCAGCGACAGGAAATCACAGAGATCGCCCTGAACATCACGTCTGTTTCACTTCAAATCAGTAAACTCTGTAACCCATTAATTCAAAAATATATCTTATTTCTTGTGGGGGGCGTTTTTGTTGTTCCCTCCCTTAACAGTAGCTACTTTTTCTTTAATCGTTTGTGTCTATATCCATGTAATTATTAGGACATATTCACTTGTTACTGGAATCTGAACCACAACTCCCCCTCATTGCCTCACAAGATGCGGTCAGATTATCGGAATATTGATTGTGGGAAAAATAAACCTCTCCTATTTCCTTCTCTTTGTCTCCGATTCCCTGACTCTGAATTTCTAAGAACTGGGATTCCCCACCTTTTAGCGACTCAGTCAGTTGTGTAACAACACCACCGTTTTTTCCAGGGATTTCTTAAAAATTTGATTACGATATGTAATAGGATTCTGAGACTTGTGATACTGTTGTGCCAAAGTTATAGCATTTATAAAAGTGCTCATATTGTTTGTTGGCAAACTGGAACAGTGTTGTTTTTTAATTGGGTTGTTGGTCACATAATATTGGGGTTTAACTTTTACCGTGTTCTCTAAACATACTCATCTGCTACTGTTTCTCGGCTGATATTGTTAGCCGACTGGCTGATCGCTTTCTGGGGGGTAATGATCCCTCCCAAAAAATAGGATTCGGTCACTCAATCCACGGCTGTTTGTGGGACATTGCTGTGTGCAATTGGCTACCATTTTTCGCCCACAAAATACACGGTCAATCCAGTTTACAATATATTCTGTGAAGCACTTTGAGACGTCTCAACGGCATTATATCAAATGCAAGGATTATTATTCTATCTCCCCTCATGCTTTCCATCTGAGGAGGATTCACAAATCTCTTTTTTCCTCTCGTTTGTGGTCCAGGGGCACTTAAGCCAATTCAAGCAGCCCAGCTTCTTCCCTGGCCAACAACAACAACAATTTGCATTTATATAGCACCTTTCACACTGGGTAGTGTCCTTGAGCGCTTAAAGCATAGACTGGGAATCACTCCTGTAACTTTTTGGGCTGTATATCTCACATTATATGGCATGTGCCAATGCCGTAGCTGATTAGGCTATTGGGGAAACTCTTTAAAAGTGGATTCAAGGCACGGTTGCTGAACTTTGAGGGCCATTGCCATTTCACATATGTTTCCTCAACACGTGTGTTGTTTTCATTCACATGTGTCAATGTTTACCAGATGAATGCCAGGTGTTGGGACAGCTATATCTGTTTGCCATCCTCTCTAAGCATTTGTTTCGTTAAGTGCTCCTTAAACAAAGAATATTTCTGCAGGCTGCAAACCTGCTCCAGCTGTCCCATAGGAGCAAATAACTGCCGGTGTTGTGTTTGCCCAGCAGGCTGGGATGTTGCTAGACATGCTGTCTGGTCTTTATGGAATCATTTGCTAAGGCGAGAAAACAACAACAACAACAAATTACTTTTGTACAGCGCCTTTCACGTCAGGAGGACATCCCAAGGCGTTGGACAGTCAGGGATCCGGATCTGAGCTGGTGGTTGGGATCAGGAGGGGTGGAGAGCGGGGAGGGTAGGGGTAGGAGGGTGACCGAAGGCACGGTCGAAGAGGAGTGTCTTGAGACGGGTCTTGGAAGAGGCAAAGGAGGGGGCGAGTGACATCTTCTAGCCACCTTATTGATGGCTTTAACAGAACTGAGATGCCTTTCATTCATCTCAATGGCACTCTTGGCAAACGAGTGGTCCTCACTTTCGCAACATCACTGAAACACCACAGTGTCATTCCTGACATGTGTCAGAAGAGTTTGTTCTGAAGTAGAAGCTCCAAAGGAAAAACAGGGTTGAAATTTTGCCCGAATGGGAGATCCGTGTTAGAATGCCACTTCTTAATTTCTGACCTTATTTTCTGCTCCTTTCTTAGGATCTTACCAGAATTTGAGAAAATACTTCTGGCTCCAAAGGAACACTTGTTTGAGTCTTTGACCGTCTTTGACTCCTCCGAGTCTGGCTACGTGGACATGAAGCCGCCTCCGAGGAACTCATGTCGGTACGACCTCGACGAGGTTGACGTTTGCTGGTTGGAACTAGTGAATGGAGAATTCAGAGACGCAGGTACCGTTTGCCTTTTCTTCTCCGACCGGAGCGATCGCTGAGAGGCAGATTGACCCAACCTTCGGCACCTTGTGCTCATTTAAGATCAAAAACGTTGCTTACGTTGTTGGTGCTGGTTTGTTGGTGCTTTTTTCATTTATTTTCTTGTCAGTTTTCGGGCTTTACTTTTGCCCATGAGGCTCACAAATCGTCATCTGTCTGTATCCCGGGACTTGCTCTTTGTCCTGTCCAGCCCATATTGTTGAATGAACTACAAAAGTAAACTTTGCCTTTGAGACGATTCAGTTCTAGGTCCTTTTGAGCGAGCCGTGAATACGAAGCAGACAAAAGAGCAGGCTAGCAGTAGGCAGGCTCAGCGGATCGGGCTGTAGTAGGGCAACAACAACAATAACAACAAATTACATGTACACAGCGCCTTTCACGTCACGAGGACGTCTCAAGGCGTTGGACAGTCAGGGATCTGCACCTGAGCTGCTGGTTGGGATCGGGTGGAGTGGAGAGCGGGGAAGGTAGGGGTAGGAGGGTGACCGAAGGCGCGGTCGAAGAGGAGGGCCACACATTTAAGGATGAAGTGACAACACCCAACAAGCTGGGCACTCCATATTGTTTGAGCAAATATGAAAAGCCGCAGAAGTGTTCAGACTCTCCCAGGCACGTAGATATCCCTCATGCAATGATGGGACCCATCCCATGTGCACAAGCACACACACACTTAGGAGAACTGGCATAGTGAAAGTCACTGTGACCACGTGGGTTTTAAATGGGTCAGAAATGGGACATTTGATTTTGCCTTTGGCTGTTGTAAACATTGTGACTGCAGAGATTATACTTAATAATAATAATAATCCTTGCATTTGATATAGCGCCTTATCACGTCTTCGAGCCATCTCAAAGCGCTTCACAGATTATACTGTAAAGCGAATTGACTGTATATTTTGTGGGCGAAACGCGGCAGCCAATTGCGTACAGCAGCGTCCCCACAAACAGTCGTGGATTGAGTGACTTTTTAAAAAAAAAAATTATACCCGAATGAACGAATGAAGAAGATTATGCCTGAAGATTTATACAGAATATTACAGCCCAATTAGTCTGTGGCGGTGTTTATGCTCAACAAACCACTCAACGAAAACCTCAACTTCCCCCCACCTGTGAATAACATTTCCAGAAGTGACTGTAAAGGAAAGAGATCGCTGTGGAGTTTGCTCTCTGCAAAGTTTTTTGATGCAGAAGCACAATTACTTAATGTGAACTATTACAGTTACCAATTAACTAATTGCATCTCACTGGCAATGTTTTTCCTCTCTGCTACAACAATTGCACTGGACAAAATGTAATCAATGTCACACAGTGTGAGCTAGTCAATCATCTTGATGGTTATTAGGGAAGTTTCTCCCAATGCTCTGGCCCCAGATAAAATTGTCCATTCACTTCATGACAGTTTGTGGGGAAACTAATAAATTAGCTTGTACCTCGCATACCTACAATTACACAGTCACTGCACTTTACAGTAAATTCTGTGAAGCTCTTTGATGAAGTGATAAGGTGCTATATCAAATGCAAGCACTATTTTTTATTAATTGGTGGGAACAATGCCATCACTCATCTAGTTAATGACGAGACAGCTGGTTGCCACACTTCCTCTTTTTGCTTTATATAAAGTACAGAACAGCTTTCAGGTATCAGTGCAAATGTATTGTTTAGTATTTATAGAGCAGTATCCGAATCGGTCTGTCGCTGGACACTCAGGAGGCTTGAAAGTTTGTTCGACTAAGTTTACAATTTGATGCTTTTATTTGATTGGTGAAACATAGATTCTTCAAATAAATTTGTGTTTTTTTAGTTGAAAAAAAAATATTCTTTTTCTACTTCAGTAACATCATGAGTCAGATGGAGGGAGCGTGTCTCCTTGGTCCAAGGCTCATTGGTGAGGACGTCCCAAGGCGCTGGACATTCAGGGATTTGGACCTGAGCTGGGGGTGGGATCAGGGAGGCTGGAGGGCAGAGAGGATAATGGTAGGAAGGTGGCCAAATGCGCGCTCGGAAGAGTAGGGCCTTGAGATGTGCCTTGAAGGAGGCAAGGGAGGGAGGGAGGTGAAGGCACTGTGTGGAGTGGAGTTCCAAAGGGTGGGGGCAGAGAGGGTGAAGATCCTTGTTTTCACCTCACATGTGAGAAGCCACTGTGCATTGCCCCAGGAGAAACTGCCAAGTTCTTGTATTCTGTCTTACTGCTAGAGGTGTGCATCCACATTTTAAATCTGTGTATAACATTTTAAACGGGATTGAAAAAAGTAAACCTGCATCAATATCTTAGGATGCACCAAAACTGTTCGACTGTGATGAAATGCCGCACGGCAGAAGTACCTCATTTCCTGCATTTCAATGTAATTCCAATGTTTGCCATTAAGTGCGTATGGAGCGAAGAGTCGAGATGAATTGAATCGCGGGAAATGTAGTCTTGACCCGTCACCGTATGTGCACTTACCCGTTGCAGTATCAAACAACAACAAATTACATTCGTATGGTGCCTTCACGTCAGGAGGACGTGACAGTATTGTCTTGCATCATGAACACCTCTTTAACCCATCATCCCCTGTCCTCTACCCCATTTTCTCCTTTGCCTTCCTTATCCTACCGCTCCCCTCTCTGTTCGTCCTTGAAAGCCTCTCCCTCCCAACATGCCCCAGGTTCTGACGAAGGGTCATGGACCCAAAACGTTGACTCACTTTCCTTTCTCCATAGATGCTGCCTGACCTGCTGAGTGTTCCCAGCGACTTTTTGCATTAGAAACTCGGGTTGTTTTTTGCCTTATTATTTTGACCCATAAATATTAAAGAAGTATCTTAGTTAATCCACGTTGCGCGAAAGAGCCTGAACTTGTGTGTTTGTCCAGGAATGCCTGAGGTTGACGAACTGACGATGGAATGGATCATGGAAGAGTTGGAAAATCAGTGCCAAGAGAACATGAACCTGGCGATCGAGACGGAGGAGGGACTCGGGATTGAATACGATGAGGATGTGGTGTGTGATGTGTGCCGATCCCCGGAAGGAGAGGATGGCAACGAAATGGTTTTCTGCGACAAATGTAACATCTGCGTTCATCAGGTAAATGGCGTCAGTTTTTCCCCAGTGACACTCACAATCCATTCCGATTAAAGTTAAGGAGCGCATTATTCATTTCAAAACCCATTTTAGAGGGAAAAAAAGTACAAAATGAATCACGGTATTATAATTCACTTATGTTCTCACATTGATTTTTAAATATCTTTGTGCAACTGATATGTGTAATAAGACGGAAACTGGAGGGGAGAAGTTCGACGACAATAACAATAACTTGCATTTATATAGCGCCCTTCTCGCAGGGTAGTGTCTCGGAGCTGTCGATGTTGAGGCGCTATTTGTGGCTGGCTTTATAGAGCAAACGGTTCCTATACAGGAGGTGGGAAGCATTCACTTTGAGGTCCCCCAAAAAAGGGGACATGGGAGTACAGTGATGGATGGGTGGGAATAGTAATAATAATTCTTGCATTTGATACAGCGCCTTATCACGTCTGCGAGACGTCTCAAAGCGCTTCACAGAATATACTGTAAAGTGAATTGACTGTCTATTTTTGTGGGCGAAACATGGCAGCCAATTGCACACAGCAGTGTCCCACAAACAGACGTGGGTTGAATGACCAATTTATTTTAAGGAACAACAAATTCTGATGATATCAGAAACCTCATGTATAAAAAAATTAGTTTGGGTCTGGGTCCTCAAATGTGATGATTTTTAATGCGTTCACTTCTGTACATTGACTATGTTCAGCAGTGTTATTCTGGAATAATACAATTTAAATCTGTCCTAATGCTTGTTATGTAAATAATGGTTTTCTGACCAGGAATACCATTATTTAGTACGATTGCATCATAAATGAAAATTCAAACTTGTGATGTTTTTACCTGCGATGTAATCTGCTGTGGAATATTAGGAAATGATATTACATGGTGTATTATAACATTACTACTGTATTACTCCAGGAATATATATTATATTATAAAATATACTATAGTATAACATATAATGGCGAAACCTTAGGCAAGTTTCCTTACTCCACACACCCGTCTCTGTTTAACTAGCAGTAAGCAGGAACCCGGTTGTTAGTTGATTGGTGATAATTCCTTCAAAAAATAAGAATAATAATTTGGTCACTCAATCCACGACTGTTTGTGGGGACGCTGCTGTGTGCAATTGGCTGCCGCGTTTTGCCCACAAAATATACAGTCAATTCACTTTACAGTGTGGTCTGTGAAACGCTTGGAGAAGTCTCGAAAACGTGATAAGGCACTGTATCAATCACAAGGATTATTACTATATTGTAATAATATCACTGAATTACTCACTGTACCTATATATATATATTTCATAAACAATACCACACAAGTCCTGTTGTGCTTGTACGTTTAAGCGATCACTGGATCAGATAATACATGAAAAAACCCCATGCTCTTCTGAAGCTGGTGTTGAAGCACATTGTAGGCAGAATGCAAGGAGTTTTCTTTTGAACCTAACCTGTACTATAGATGACTTGGGAGTGCTCCTTGCTGACTATTATTATTCCCTACTGATCAGCTACACAATATGAGTTGGTACCTTTACAGCATTCATTGCAATTCGACTTAGACAACATCAATGGCGACAACACGTAGCTCGCCTGCCAGCATCCACCAGGTTTTCCTTGATTTTCCCATCTCCCAAGGCGATCATTACAACGTACATTTGGAATGTAAATAATGTGTGCTGGGTATATCCACTTGAATAGTTGAGAACCACATAGCTATTAAATTCTGACTCCCAACCACTTAAATTAATTGACTTGCAATCCCATTGACTTGCTGCTCCCCTCACCGTCTCATGTGGTGCCTCCCACAAAACATTAGATAGCACCAATGTTACAAATTAATGTTTCTCAGTCGTAATCTTTGGTTTGTTTGCAGTGGAGTAGCGTTTAATTGGTGAATGGGAAGAAAAAATCAATTAGCTTTACTAAGCACATCCAGCTGTTTACTCCAGCATTGCCTTAGCGTACGAGTTCAGCTTAACATTTTGCCTTACAGATACCTCCACTAAAGTGGTTTATTGGGTTTACACTGAGGAAAACAAAAGGAGATTAAGAACAAAAGAGGGCCATTCAACCCATTGAGCCCACCTCACGACAGACCATTCTATGTACATTTGTAGTATCCATGTACTACAAATCTCTCCTAATCCCACCTGCCCTCTTATCGCTTAATATTTTTACTCTCTACGTATCTATCCATCTATCTCTCTCTTAAATTCGTGGACTAATTTTTCATCTGGAGCGAGCAGTGCATTCTAGATTCTTATTACTCTGTTAATTTCCTCATTTTGGGCCTAACCCATTTTTTGCTCTAATTTTAAGGATATATCTTCTCGTAACCGATGACTCCACCAGGGGAAACAGTCACTCGCTGCTTATTCTATGAAAGCCCTTTCTTAATTCCAGCCACTTTCATCAAATCACCCCCAACCTTCTCAACTCCAGAGAATGCTTCTCCAACCTAACCAGCCATTCACAATAGTTTAGCCCTTTCATAGAAATATGTACAACACATTCAGCCCATTTTTTCATGCTGGTGTTTGCTCCTCTAAGAAGCCATCCATCCGTTCACCCAAGACATAGTGAGTCACTCCACTTTGCAGTATATCCTATGAAGCACTTTGAGACGTCCTCCCGACGTGAAAGGCGTTACATCAAATGTAAGGATAATTATAATTGTTATCCTAATCTCAATTCCCTGCTCTTTCCCCATAACTCTCTATTGTGCTTTCTTTGCGTTGCATGTACTTACCTATTTCATTTTTAAATGCTCAAATGAGCTGCTCTATTAGTGGACCCGTGGCAAATCATTCCATACCTTGACAATCCTCCCTAGCCGCAATTGTGAATTAATTCCCTCATGTCCTCGAATCCCTACCTACAGAAAGAGTTTTCCACATTTGATTATCCGAAACCCCGCCCTCTCTAGCCTCACACTTTATCATAATCCTTTATCATTCACGTACACCTACCCCGCACTCTCTCCATAGCCAATATATGCTTCTTGTGATGAGACTCTCACAGTATGACATCAAGTGTAATGTAACTTTGTAGAACCTCAGCACCACTTCCTTTTAAATTCTATGTCTCTCTAAGTATGAACATTCCTGCCAATGGCCCCCCGTAGCTCTTCACTAGCTTTTAGTGATTTATCACCAGTATATACACCAAAGTTCCTGTGTTCATTCCATTCCCTCTAGAACCTCTCCATTCATCTTACGTTTTCAACCCCTATTTTTATAGCCAAAGTGCATCACTTCATTTGGCTGCATTGAATTGTATTTGCCATACTGCCACCCACTCATCTAATCTATCAATATCTGGTTGTAAATGTTTGATTGTCCGCTGTTTCCTCACTATGGCAGGCTTGTTATGGAATCTTGAAGGTGCCCCTTGGTAGCTGGTTGTGTCGGACGTGTGCCCTGGGCGTCCAGCCGAAATGTTTGCTGTGTCCTAAGAGAGGAGGAGCTTTGAAGCCAACGCGCAGTGGTACCAAGTGGATCCATGTTAGCTGTGCCTTATGGATACCTGAAGTAAGACACTATTTTGTGGGGTGGGCAGGGGAAGGTGATGTTGCAGACACGTGGGGGTCTCGATAGATTATTATGAAGTTTCTTTGAAAACAAGGGAATATCGTCCAGTTTGAGCCAATTAATCAGATACATGAGACGTATGAATTGTTGAAAGTTAGATGGCTGGTTGCCCAGTGTTGCTTATGTTATGATTGCGGTAACGTTCGTAGGCCTCAGGTGTTATAACCGTGCAAGATAAAATATACTCTGGGATACATACAGAGTGTTTTACCCGGATGTCTCTCAAGTCTTGAGGTTTATTGTGTTTCACTATTTTTAGGTAAGTATTGGTTGCCCTGAGAAGATGGAGCCCATTACAAAGGTGTCACACATTCCTGCTAGCAGATGGGCTTTGGCATGCAGCCTGTGCAATGAACGGACTGGAACATGTATTCAGGTCAGTGTACAGAAACGTGCCCTTATCCAATATTGTTCTGTAGTTACAGTGAATTCCCCTGTGGGTTTTGTGCTGGGACAGAGAACAGAGAGGTGTTTAAAGTCCAAGTCACAGCCTCGTGTATTAATCTGCTCCCTGCCTGCTACTGCAGTGTAAAGCAAACCAGAGCCATCAGTGTGCTCATTCATGGGTAGACATCTTATACAGTATTCTCTCTTGGTAAACTGATAAAAGAATTTGCAGGTAGTAAAGACAACCATGATTTAAAACTGTCGTCAGTTTGTGCAATCCCTACATTTCACAGTAAAATCCTGTGCAGCATTTTGAGATGTCTTGACGATGCACAATATCAAATGCAAGCAATGTTTTTATTATTATACATTTTTCAACAGTAGATAACAATCCAGAGCATAAAGCCTGCCTCCTGTCTCTCTCTGTGCCTCATTTAGCCTGAGGATATTTATACATGTTGCATCCTCTGCCACTACCCAAATTGAGATCAGGTGACATTAAAAGACAAGAGAATCAAACCTGCAATCTTCCTGATCTGGTGCAGTACAGTCACTTAATATCAGGGCGCCAGAAAAAACTATTTTAAAAAATAGAAACTATGTTCGAAAAAGATTGCTTCTTAAACAGTATTTGGTTAGTCAGATGTCTCTATCCGACACGTTAAGAGATATAAACAGTAATTGCATCGAAGGATCGCCCAAAGGGCAGTGGAAATCTGGAACTTTCTCTCCAAAAAGCTGTGGATACTGGATCCATTCGCATATTTAAGACTGAGGTGGATAGATATTTGTTAGGTCGGGGTATAAAGCGATTCGGGGCGGGTAATTGAATTTGAGGTACAGATCAGCCATGATCTTATAGAATGGTGGAACAGGCTCAAGGCACTGAATGGCCTCCTCCTGATTCCATGTTTCTATCGCAACACAGTCACATAAATGAACTTTAAAAACTCCAGGTTTGTTACATGAGTCGGGTGTTTCTATAATAAGAGGGAGTCGGTGTGACCAGTGCCTGGGACAAAGTGTTGGGAGGGTTTGCACTCTGAATCATAATAATTTGATCAGCGTGTAGATAGCTATTTCCCATAGATTAATGGAATTAAAAAAAAATCTCATGGAGGAGAATTCACCGAACCAGTTTCAGATGAATAAGCTGCAGAAATGGAGAAGGGAGCTCGTCCTTTGAGTCAAGGAGAGTCTTGAACCAGTGAGTGTCTCGCAGGTATTTCATGACAACTGATAATGATTCAGTTGATTCATTGGCTGGGAATGTCCTGTATCAAATTGACAAACAGCAAAATGCTCGGTCTGTTCGGTCCTGATTGTGAAATGTGGCCGCTCAACTTCACTGCAAAAAAAGCTTTACATTTTAATGTGTAAATCCCACGAAGCAGCGTTGGTATTTTAAGTCGCTTATGTGTTTTTTTGCACCTTGAGATGCAATTATCTGTGTCAGGGTGGGCCAAATGGAAGGTGACCCATCTGAGTTTATCACTGAGTTTTGCCCTCACTTGAGCCTGTTCACATCTGAGAGGTATTAAATAAGTTGCATGTGCATTTACGATCATATCATCATAAATGTAAATGTAAATGATCGGACAGAAGGAAGCCATTTGTCCCATCGTGTCTGTGATGGCGCTGGCTTCCGTACTTTACTCTAATCCCAACTCACTTCCCCCAAATGCTTTAATCTGTTTCCTCCAGCTTTTGTCCAATTCCCTTTTCAATTCTGTTGTGGAACTCAGCTTCAAAAGATCCTGATGGTACCGCGTGCCGCAGTCTTAACAATAGATCAGTCGTTTGCTTGAGACACTCACAGGTCCGCTGGGTTATGACACTAGAGCCCCTGGGACCGGTGCTTGGGACAAAGACTTGAGAGTTTACACTCCAAACCACCATCTGGCCAGGCATTCTGTATCGCACTTGGCCAGTTGCTGTGAACCCAGCTGCCGTTAGCAGCTCCTGGATAAATGCACCAGTAGACGTTACGGCCTGGAGATTTGGGGCGATCCAGTGGCAAAGAGTTAACATATTTCTCCTGTAATTTCTGCTGCCGGTGGCAAATCCCATATATTAAATATTTAAATAACCTGCTGATGGTATCCTGCTGTTTTATGGCCAAAGAAAAAAAGAGTAGGGACATCTGGCCCGGCAGTTAAGCGCAAGCCAAATTGGAAAATGTTTAAGCTTCTTTCTTTCCACAACTCCCCACCAAGCCAAGTAAACTGGTGTCTCACTGACAATGCATTGCAAGCCGTTTAAGTTCAGGGCTGACGACTTGTTTGATAATAAATTGGCGGGCTCCTGGGTTATCTTCACGTTCTTTCGTTGCCGATTTATTCCTGTAAAATAGGAACATAAAATAGGTGACCCATGTTGCCACCTCTTTGGTTTTGGAGTGGGGCTTTTGAGGAATTTTTCAAAATGTAAACCAGATTCCTAGTCTGCATTTTGTTTTTTGAAAAGAGATTGTTTCCCCCTCACCCCCCACCCCCCCCCACCCCATGTGCTACTGGGTTATGACACTGAGATAGTAATAATTAAGCTTATTAAACGGTTTTAATCAGGAAAGTGGGGGTGTGGATTCTTCCCACCCAGCTCCTTTTAACCCTGCCACCCAAAGCCCTCTTGTGCAGTCTAATTCTAGCAGCTTGCCAATCAAAGCAAACAACAACAACGACAAATTACATTTGTACAGCGCCCTTCACGTCAGAACTTAAGGCACGATTCCACTCCTGTCCCTTCGGGCTTGTTCTCGTTCTTTGCCCCTAACGGGATAAGAAATCCGAGATGCCTCCCCATTACCCTGTTCGCTGGCTTCCTCGGATCTTAAGTTGTTCCCATCAGCCCCAGGCTACTGGTGGAACAGAAGATAAAATAATTGCAGAATTGGCTGGTGAACAGATCCATATCTGGGATATTTGCTGCAAAGCCTTAGATCAGGGTAGAATAGGTGTCACTGTTATCTCTTCCTCCACCAGTGCTCGATGGCTTCCTGTATAACGGCATTCCACGTGACATGCGCTTTTGACCGCAGTCTGGAAATGAGGACGATTCTCGCGGAGAACGACGAGGTCAAGTTCAAGTCCTACTGCCTGGAGCACAGCAGCACCTTTGCAGGCATTGCCTCCGTCAAGCGGGAAGAGGCCCGGCAGTCCACCACGGGCACGGCCGACATGAAGCAGAGCGAGCACGACCTGCTGAAGGCCAGCCTGCGGAAACAGAAGCTGCAGCAGCTGGAGGAGGGCTTCCACGAACTGGTGAAGCCCCCAGATGTGGCCCAGCAGCTGCACATGTCCGAAGTCCCGGTGGAGTTTTTCTACCATTACTGGCAGCTCAAGAGGAAGTCCAACTTTAACCGGCCGCTCCTAGCTCCCAAAACAGACGAGGTGGACAATCTGGCCCAGCAGGAGCAGGACGTATTATACCAACGCCTGAGGCTCTTCACACACCTCCGTCAGGATCTTGAACGGGTGGGTCAGAACTTTAATCTTTAACCTTTATTTATTACCTACCTTCATTGCAGGTGAGACACTCGCTGGGTGAGGATTCCTGGCGACCAAACCTGAGCCTCAGCATCACTCGCTTGTTGATGCAGAAGAAGAGGCAAAGTTGATCCCTCACCTAGAAAAAAGGGGACACAGGCTCAAGCTTACGAGAGGAAAGGGTGAAATGAGAGTGGTGAATAGGTGGAATAGACTGCTCGGGTTAATGCAGTTAGATTATGTCAGCATATTAAGCGTAACGTCCTGGAGCTATATAAATGCAAGTTGTTATTGTTATTCAAGGGAGAATTCGCTAGCCATTTGCCAAGGAAATCCAATGAGGAGTGTGAGAGATAGTCTTGTAAGATTTGCTGTTATTACTTCGGAATGAGCAAGCCGTGGTCTTATCCAGTCCCGTGTGTATTTTTGTCTTCTAAAGTGGAAACACCTGAATAGCTTGTCCCAGTCAGAAACCAGTGTTACCAAGTACGTAAGTGCATGGAGTGACAATTAATGGGTCAGTCTCTTTATAATTGTATTGCACGCGGCGTTTAGTGCCGAACACAGGGATGTTGTGCCGTTAAATTCCATACAGAGACACTCATGAAAACAAATATCCCCTGATTTCAGTGTCACATGCGGAGCGGTTACTTGGAAACTGCTTGAAAAATGGGAGAGTTGGCACTAAATGCCACTGGGGGAGGTGGGGGTGGAAAGCGATATTAACAGAACATATCTTGAATACAACATACTGTGACAATAAGGAACACTGGACATTCATTATCTTAGCAATGCACGTTGTACAAAAGGTCAGTTTGATTTGCTGCCAATAGTATAGAGACTTTTAGTGCTTACGAACATAGTAATTGACCCTTTGAATTGGAGACCAGAGCAGTTTAAGTGGTTCCTATTGACAGAGGCGCTTTGGGAGAAATTATGGCTTTAAAGCAATACTACCTGACGTGGGAATTGATAAAGCGATCTGCTGTCCGCTGTGAATCACTCAGCCTCCGCTTACATTAACGGAGGCAAGTCTTTAGAAAAGGCATCTATCTACTGCAGTCTGGTGAAACTCGAACTGCTTTTTGTTTGATAAGCCCAGCTTGTGTCAGGGTTGTATTTAGCTACAGGTATCTCTAATGAAACCTTTCCTGCAGAACATTATACAGTGTGAATGTGGTACTTTCGCACGTCAATGCGGAGAGACACTTAGGGGTGTGTGAGGCCAAAGGCTAAGTTCCTCGCAGGGCTCAGTTCCTGATCTGAAATGTTGTGCACTCCTTTGCCGAGCAGCAGTATTAACAGTAAATGTCTTGAGCACAATGCAGTTTGACAATCGGGGGCATTGGACAAAATGTCAGCTTGATCTGCTGCCAATAGAGGTATAGGTCCTTTGCAGGAAAAGAGGATTGACAAGGTGTACTCAACAGCAACAACGTCAACTTGCATTTATTCAGTGTCATTCACGTAGAGTCTTGTGGCACTTATTCTGATCCTGGCGTGGTTGAAGGTTGAATGTCTTCATTCCAAATACTCTCTGTGGATGAATATTACAAATTTCGCGACTGTACCAGGGTCAGGCCTGACATTGACAGAGCATTTACGGGGAGAAATTTTACGTGAGTCTAGATTTACTCTTATTTATGAAGCATTTTAGAGCGTGAAGAATCTGGCGGATTATTGAATTGTCTTATGATGATGAGATTTCATTTAGTTTCTTATCACAGTGTCCAAACTTCTGGGAACACTTCACAGGATTTAATTAGAGGGTAGTTAGTGACTGTAAATTTGCACAGCCAATTTGCGCACAACGATGTCCCATGAACAGTCGTGAAGGGAATGACCGCTTATTGGCCAAGAAACTCCCTTCTCTTTTTGAAGAGTGCCACGGGATCTTTAACATCCATCTGAACAGACAAGACGAGTTCCTTAGTTTAACATCTCATCCAGCAATGCAGCATACCCCCAGCACTGCTTTGGAGTGTTAGCCCAGTTAGCCCTCGGTGTCGTGCAAATTGTTGTTGGAATGTCCTCCCTGACGTGAAAGGCGCCATACAAATGTAATTTGTTGTTGCTCTCTTTTCAAATAGTGCCATGGGATGTTTAATCGTAGAATCATAGAATTATACAGCACAGAAGGAGGCCATTCGGCCCATCATGCATGTACTGGCTCAAGGAAAAGAATCAAATCAATCCCACTCACCCGCGCTCTCCCGATAGCCCTGCAATTATTTGTTCTCCCCAAATAATTATCTACTTTAAATTGTTAATGATCAAATAATTAACGTCCAACTGTACAGGATTCAGAATCCCAATTTGGGGCTTGAAAATGAACATCATGCATAATGTCCTTCATGTGTGATAATATCTCAGAGTGATTCTCAAAAGATAGGATCGGATACTGAGAAAGGGAAGAGGGCAGGGAGCGGTGACCATAGGTGTGGTTAAAAATGTAATAATAATCTTTGGTTTGATATAGCGCCTTATCACGTCTTCGAGACGTCTCAAAGCGCTTCATTCAATATACTGTAAAGCAAATTGACGTATATTTTGTGGACGAAACGCGGCAGCCAATTGGGCACAGCAGTGTCTCCACAAACTGTCGTGGAACAAGGTGACCAATTTATTATTATTATTTTATGTAGGTTTTTAGGTGGGATTTAAAAACAGATGATGATAATAATAATATTCCTTGCATTTGGTATAGTGCGTTTCATGTCAGGAGGACGTGATTGATAGCGAGGGGTGAGATGGAGAGGCAAAAGGGAGGGAGTTTCTGAGATTAGAGGCATATTTATTGGTTAATTAGGGCTCCAGAGAATTTGACAAATTGTGGATACTCTATGCCACAAATGCCGCGTAAACAGAGCAAATCTTATACTGAGAGAGTTTTTTCCAAGTTTGAAGATCAGTCAAATGGAGCAAGTCAGGTATATTCCGCTTCGCAGAATATACTGCCAAATGTAGTGACTGTGTATTTTGTGGGCGAAACGAAAGACTGCATTTTGTGGGCGAAAACACGAGAGTAAATTGGAGGTTTCACTCAGAGAGAGGCGAAGGTTTGGCTGGTATGGCAAATGTCATTTGGGGTTATGGCCTTCATGTAAGCTGTAGATTGGAACGCTTTCCCTATTATAAATCAAAGTGGAACATCAGTCCCATTGTTGGGGCAGGACAAGGAGTATGTTCCTGGGTCTGGGAAGTGCTTGATCCTGACACGAGGCACTAAAGTGAGCAGAGTGTTTCTTTCCCCAGCACTGACAATCGCTCATCTGAAGCACACCGGATTTAACGAAATATTTAAACTAAAATAACCCTTTTGTAGTGCGGTGGCTGGCGAGCTCCTCGGCTCTCAGTCAGCGCATCAGATCACAAACGCTAAAACGATGCCAGGCTGTTTACATTCCTGTTTCATTTATGATAACAAACCCACCGTGTGTGGCAGCAGCACACAGTGCTGATCTGCTGGCAGTCTTGCGGTGCTGTGAACCAGAAGACATGCCGTCTCCCAGGCTGCCGTCAGCACCTGCCCTGCTCGACGCCTCGCAAGCTCATTAAATTGTTCACCAAATGCGGAGCTGCTACTCACAAGGACACTTAAAAGCACATCACCATGGTTACACTGAGTTATGTGCCCCTCCATCACCCCTGGTGTCAGATACTTAGACAGTTCCAATGCTCCTGCTTCACGTAGATCAGGTTAGATAGTGCGCTCACCTCGGAAACCTCACCTCAGAGATGCAGTTTATCTCCTGAGTGACTGAGTCACTGAAGTCCCCACGCAAGCTTTGTAATTTCTTCCAAGCCTTTGATCAAATAGCGAAATCAATGCATTTCATTTAGGAAGTGCATTAGAAATACGCCTTGTTTCTATGTCACCGGAACATCACAGGAATGCAGTATTCCTGAATTTACAGTAACTCAAAAGTAACATAATAATAATAATAATTCTTGCATTTCACATAGCGCTTTCCACATCTTCTCGACGTGTCAAAGTGCTTCACAGAATAGACTGTAAAGTGAATTGACCGTATATTTGTGGGCGAAACGCGGCGGCCAATTGCGCACAGCAGCGTCCCCACAAACAGTCGTGGATTGAAGTGATCAATTTATTGTTGCCTTTTTTATTCTTGAGGGATTATTATCAGGCGTGTGTGTAGAGTTAGGAAACTTGCCCAAGGTTTCGCCCCCTGCCGGGAAACGAACCCAGGGCTCTCGCTTGCAAGGCGAGCGCTCTAACCACTGAGCTGCAGGACTCCATTCTCAGCACTGATCACACAGAATTCACGGTACTCTCAAAGATCCCATTGCATAACACTGGGATTTGTTGCTGCTGACAGTTCTGTTATTGGAAAATACTAAACTCTCGGTAATGAATTCTGATGGTGTAACAACTTTTTATTTTATTCCAAGTGTTTATTACTCATAGCAGTTACGCCCCGTTGTGAAGTGGCTGTACAATTTTAGAGCTAGCGTTAAATCTTTGTGCAATAAAAATACTAATTTATGGTAGAAAACATTAAAGTGAAGTTAGTGTTCTCAGGCTGAAGAATTGAGTGGCTCTGGTGTGTTGCACGTGCAGCTTATGTGTGGTGCGGCTGAGATTTGTGACCTTTCTGCCATCCGATCCACATAAGCCAGGCTGTCACTGTCACAAGGAGCCTAGTGATCCAAGTCCAAATGTGTCCTCCAATTGGTGCGGTGGGGGTGGTGGGTGGAGGGTGGGCTTATGAGTAGGAACATTGCTGTAAACTGAGAAAACAACATGTAACAAAAATATAAAGAAGTCATGCTGAATTTGTACAGGACAGAATTTGTGGAGTCCTGTAGCTCAGTGGTTAGAGCTCTCGCCTCACAAGCGAGAGGACTTGCGTTTGATTCCCGGACGAGGTGAAATGTTGGGCAAATTTCCTTACTCCACACCTCTGTTTACCTAGCAGTACGTCGGCAAAATATACAGTTAATTCACTTTACAGTGTATCCTGTGAAGCGCTTTGAGACGTCTCGAAGACACGATAAGGCGCTGTATCAAGTGCCAGGATTATTGTTATTATTAAAACGTCAGTCAGGCCACATTCGGAATACTGTGTGCAGTTTGGGGCTCTTCATTTTAGGAAAGGTGTAAACGTGCTGGATGTGTTTGCAGAGGAGATTCACTGGGATGTTGTTGGCTGCAATGAGGAAATACAGTAGTAGGGAAAGGCTTGATAGGTTGGAGCTTTTTTTCTTTGGAGTTCAAAAGGCTGAGAGGCATATGATCAAGGTATATAAATCAGACGATGAGAGGCTTAGATAGGCAGGAATAGGAAAGGATTATTTCCGGTGGTCAGCAAGTCTAGGATTAGAGGGGCAGAGTTTTAAATCAAAGATGTGAAGGCTAGAACAGAGATTAGGAAGAACATTTTCTCAGAGAGAGAGTGTGAGAGTGTGGAAATCTCTGTCACAGTCAGTTGTTGTGGAAGCAACCATGTGCAGGGAGAATAAAGTTGAGGGATATGGGGAAAGGAATTTCACCCGGCAAAATATACAGTCAATTCACTTTCTAGTATATTCTGCGAAGTGATTTGAGGCGTCTTGAAGATGTGATAAGGCGCTATATCAAATGCAAGGATTATTATTATAAGGATTATTATTATTATAAAGGGCTGGGATATGGGACTAAGTTATTTTGCAAAACTGTTCCCTGAACCTAATCAATAAAACCGAGCGAGCAGGCAAAAATAATATTCTGAGGTCGATCTCATTCTGTGATACTATAAATGCATGAAACGCGTGAAATTAAATTGAGGTTTTATCCAATTTATAAAAGCTCAGCTGTCGAGTGGCCTGGGAGTTCAGCAAACAGGAGCAGAGAAGAGAAAATAACAACAACAACAACAAGATTACATTTGTGTAGCCCCTTTCACGTCGGGAAGGCGTCCAGCATTTCAGATCCGAGCTGGGGTCAGCGGGGGAGACGGGAGGGGAGGGGAAGGGGGGTGGCTGATGGAGCGGGAGGAGTGGAAGAAGGGGATGGGGTCGGGAATATCTTGGGGAAACAGCTCGGGTCAATTGCGGAGATTCACTGAGATGTTGTTGGCTGTACTGAGGAAATATAGTTGTAGGGAAAGGCTTAATAGGTTGGAGCTTTTTTTCTTTGGAGTTCGAAAGGCTGAGAGGCGTATGATCGAGGTGTATAAATCAGACGATGAGAGGCTTAGATAGGAGGGAATAGGAAAGGATTATTTCCAGTGGTCAGCAAGTCTAGGATTAACAACAACAACTTGCATTTACACAGCGGCCCCTCACCCAGGGTAGCGTCCCAGAGTGCTTGACGGGGCGGAGCACGACATCGAGCCGGGGGGAGGGGGAGGTGACTGTAGTCACGGTCGAAGAGGAAGGTCTTCAGGTGCGACGGGGATGGGGCAGGAAGGGGCACAGCTCTAATGGGCAGGATGGTCCTAGCCGGATAAACAGTGGGAAGCAGTGTTTTTAATGGCAAGCTACTTGGTTTTAGTTGGTTAAATTCCAACAGTTATCCTAACACACAATCTGGGGTCCCCAAGCCTTGGCTCTTACAAACCTGCACCTAATACTCTCCGGAGTTAGGCAAGCAGGAGTATGATGGCATTGCTCCAGCAGACAGTGTGAGTTCCAGTCCATGGACAAGAAAATGTCCTGGTGTAGGTGGCAGACATGTGTGGAACGCTCAGTCTGGTTTTGGATACTCATAAGCATGTGTCAGACACTCGACTGACCAAAAAAATACCAACATTACTGAGTAATTTACTCAGTTAAACCGCATTATTGGAACAGGTTGTAATAACATTAATTCTTATTTTCAAAATAAATTGTTTCATTCTGCAGCTTTTCAGGCTCTGTGAGCAATGATAATTTGTTTATTGATTGTAACAAGCAGCGATTCAATGGACTTATGCACCGTGAAAGTAATGCTGTTTTCATGTACTCTTGATATCCAGTGTTTAGAAGGGCAATAATGTGCTTGTTTTCACAGGTTAGAAATTTGTGTTACATGGTGACACGGAGAGAGAAGATGAAACGATCAGTCTGCAAACTTCAGGAGCAAATATTCCACCATCAAACCAAACTGATCGAAGAGGATCTGAATCGAGGTAATGCTCCAGTCAATCAAGTCTTTCCGCTCTCTCTTAATCCTCTTTTCTAGGCTGCAAGATGCTTTTCGGGCTTAAAACACCCACTGTTTCCAGTTCCAAGAGCGCTTGATTAATTTTTCTGCAGTTGCCTCTTGTATGGAAATCTTCAGTCTGGAAGGGGTGTGGAGACAGGATTAACTTGAAAGCGTTTCAACCAAATTTCAAATCCGAGGCAAATTGTTACACCTCCTCTGTCAAGTGCAAATGCCAGAACTTTGCATGTTGGAAAGGCTCATTTGGTAGTACTCTCACTTCTGGGTTGGAAGGATTGTGGCTTCAAATCCCACCAGAGTTTGCACTTGTGTCCCTTCCCAACCGAGGAAACCATGGAGTGAATGAGATAATCCCTGTCAAGGGGGGAAATAAATGGATTTGTCTAACAGCCATAGATTCAGATCTAAATCATGGTTTCTCTGAGTCGAGGTTTACAATGCGCGTACAGGATCCAAGGACAAATGGAAAGGGAATGTTAAAGCTGCCAGGGTAGTGCTTGGAAAAAGTGGTAAAAAGGATAAGATTTGTGAACAACATTGTTGAAACTTCAAATCTAACAGTAATTTTTCTGCAAGTGGAATATTTATCCCAGCAGCCTATTCACTCACCCTCCAAATACCCCATTCCAAGCACTCAGATACCAATAACTTGTATACAGTAATGAGAAACTCTATTGGATCCAGTGTAAATCAGAGACCTGTTCTGTCTTGAGTTTTACTTGAAGTAGTTCGGTGTGAATATGCAGTGACTGAATAATTCAGTTGTAGACATTTGCTGACAAATGGATGGGAGGAATATGGTTTCCGTTACCAGCCACACAGGGATGCGGAGGTCAATTGAATTTCACCTATTTGGACTGGGATCTGTTTGCTGAGCAGTGCAGCTCAGGAGCACAGCACATACAATACAATACAAAATTATTATTTGTATAGCGCCTTTCATGTCGGGAGGATGTCCCAAAGCGCTCGACAGTCAGAGATTTGGACCCGAGCAAGGGGGGCATTGGGGTAAGGGAGGGTGGAGGGTAGGAGGGTGGCTGAAGGCAGGGTCGAAGAGGAGGGTCTTGAGATGTACCTTGCAGGAGGTAAGGGTAGGAGCGAGGTGAAGAGAATGTGTGAAGGAGTTCCAAAGCGTGGGGGCGGAGAGGCTGAAGACTCGACTGCCAATAGTGGAGCAGGCCGGTGGAGGGAGATGGAGCAGGCCAGAGCCTGCTGAGCGGAGGAGAGCAGACAGGTTGATATGAGGTTAGCAGGTCACTGAGGTAGGAAGGGACAAGACCGTGGAGGGCCTTGAAGACGAGGACGAGGATTTTGAACTCTATCCTCTGAGGCATAGTGCATTTACACAGTCAGTTTTTAATCCGTTGCTCAAGACTTTACTGAGAATTTGGGTACCTCAAGGAACGATAGACACTGAACTTTGCTGTGCTTATCAACCAGACGTTTTGTTGAGGGAAAATCCAGGAGCTGAAAATTCTCACTCATAACCATCTTCATCAGCATAATGTACTCAAAAGGGTTCACAGGGAATCCCCTATATTCTAGTCTGTACGATGTGCTAAGGACGTGCTGCAGAACATATGATTAAGATTAACCCTCGGGGGGGCCCCCAATTCAAAAATGCCTTTCACATTTCCCTGCAACGAGTCATTCAGAGATATGAAACTGAGCTCAGGGCAAAATGCTGGGGTTGCACCTTAGAAACTAATGGCAGCTACAATGAGCTATTCAATGCAGCTATTCAATTCAATTCAATTCAACTCACTAAACGAGACCAACATTTACCCCCATTCAATTACAACAACAACTTGCATTTGTATAGCGCCCTTCAAACCAGACGGAGTTTCGGAGCGCTTTACAATGATGGGTGCCGAGCCAGGGGGAGGGGGAATATCACCCGAGACACGGTCGACAAGGAAGGTGTTCAGGCGTGACCTGAAAATCGGGAGAGAGTGTGGGGGGTCGGGGGGTCAAGGCGAAGGGATTGAGGGAGAGAGTTCCACAGCTTCGGGGCGTAGAGGCTGAAAACACGCCCGTTGATGGTGGGGCGGAAGGACCGGGTGACCAGGAGGAGGCCGGGGCCAGTGGAGCGGAGTCAGCGGGTAGCGGTGCAGGGAGAGAGCAGGTTGGAGAGAGTTGGGGGTGGGAGGGAGGGAGGGAGTGCCAGGGTGCGAAGGGATTTAAATACAAGAGTGAGGATCTTGAAATCAATCCGCTCTGTGACAGGGAGCCAGTGGAGTTTTGACAAACTCCAGGACGCTATATAAATGCAAGTTGTTGTTGTTTTGGGGGGTGGGAGGATGTTCAATACTGAAAGCATTCAATGCTTTGCCTCCACTTGTGTGCAGGGTGTGTATGCCAGGTCACAGTTGGGAAATATTGATGACGTCAGCACTTCCTGTGTTTGCTGAACAGTTCCAGTCGTACATTTTGTTACAACGAGAGTTTAAAATAATCATTTGTGATGCGGGAACAGCTAATCTTGCTCCTCCATCTCGGTGTTTTGTTATTTTAATGTTCGTCTTATCAGGGCTTGAACGACACACACACGCACTGGATCCCCGACAGCCGAGAAAATGTAAATGGACAAACAACAGTTTTAGAATATTTTTAACCCTCAAGTCAGCTTGACCATTGGTCAGTAAAGTAATATCCATGTTAGATGGCTCCCTGACCAGTTTCTGTTTGTACAGTGAGTTTAGAAATAGTTGACGAGGCAGCTTTCTGTGGCTCAGTTGGTGAAGTCACTGCCTTTTGTGAAACTTTTAACCCATAGAGAGAGGAGGGTCCCAGGTTTGATTCCCGGTCTGTGGTCAGTTGTCTGAACTTGGGCAAGTTAGCAACTGCAATCATATAGCGCCCTTTCATGCCGGACGGCGTCTTGAAGCTCTCGATTTTAGTGCGCTCTAACTTAGCAGTGGTGCAGAGGAAATTGGCGGAGAAAAATAGCCAAGATTCCCCTGTTCCTGTTCACTTTGCAAAGATCTCTGCTGGAAACGGCAGTTGTCAGGAATAGGTTCTGCTGTGATGTAGAACAGCCTTCTGTCAATGCCTCTTCACTGTAGAGTGACCACTTGGCACCTGGACCCTGACACTGGGCCGCAGTTAGAGCGAGCACATTCAGGGAGAGAAGACACAGGGCCTGATGATGCAGTCACTGGTTACCCAATTTCTTTGATGTGAACTTGTGTGCGTGTATTACAACAAGGGGTTCACTGGATAAAGATCAGGAATGGCAATAAACACAGAAGTCGCTGGGAACACTCAGCAGGTCAGGCAGCATCTATGGAGAGAGGAAAGTGAATTCATGTTCCAGTTCGATGACCTTTCGTCAGAACCCAGAGTTCAGTTCTTACTTTCCTCTCTCCATAGATGCTGCCTGACCTGCTGAGTGTTCCCAGAGACTTCTGTTTTTATTTCAGATTTCCAACATCTACAGTATTTTTTAGCCTTTTTATTAGGAATGGGAATGCTGGCTCAAATACCACCCATTGCTGCTCTAACTGAGGTCAGCTACTTTACATTGCCCACGGTAGATAATGAGATCAGCTGAACTTACACCGCAGAGGTGGAATTTTGGCCCTTTTTGCAAGGCATTCCACGTCCCAATAACTGTGTCTTAAAGAAATTGTCCTAAGCTTTTCTTTTGCTCTTCTGGTGACTATCATATATCTATGTCCTCTGATCACTGACTCCCTTAACAGTGGAAATAGCTTCTCCCTAATCCCAAGATAATTTGCATACCTCTATCATTTCCTCCGTCAACCTTCTATGCTCCAATGAACAACTACAATTTACATTTCAGAGCCTTGCATGTGGAGCAGTATCTCAAAGTACTTGCCAAAATAATAAAAATCCTTGCATTTGATATTGAGCAGTTCACATCAAGAGGATGTCTGAAAGTGCAAATTATTATTATTATTTTGAAGGGTTTATTACCCCCGGAAAAGCAATCCGCCAATCAACTGACAACCGGTTCCTACTTACTGCTAGGTAAACAGAGGCGTGTGGAGTAAGGGATCTTGCCCAATGTTTCGCCTGGGAATCGAACCCAGGTCCTCTTGCTTGCAAATCGAGTGCTCTAACCACTAAGCAACAGGACTTAAATGTAAGTCTCAATCAAAAAATGATTAACTGGAAATAAATAATAACCAAGTGATGCATTCGCCCACTTAGCCTCTGAGGAGTACGTGGCACATTCTTTTAAAATAACTATTCCACCCTAAAAGAAAAACACACCCAACACCTAGCATTGCACATTGATCTGATGAAACCTGATAAGCTCACTTTCTGTGAGGTGAGCTGCTTTGTTCTACCTTAAGGATGTTGGAAGTCTATTTAATTGCACCATCAGTGTTTCTGTTTGAGCCATTCTGCCATCAGGCACTCCAAGGAATTACTCCTTTGAATTTCCAGCCTTCCATTCGAGATGCCCAGGGACACTGTATTAGCAGACAGTGTTTGTTATCTACCTGTGTTCATCCATGCTCAAAGAAGATGTTGAAATTTGTAATTGGTGTAATTTGGGTTCCCAGTTCCCAGTGGCACTGAATTGAACTATTATGAATTATTAGTGTTTAATGGCATCAACAGAGCAGCAGTGAGTCGACAGGCAGGAGTGAATGGAACATAAGAACATATAAGAGCATAAGAATTTGCTGGGCGAAAGAAGACCAAGGTCTATCTTGTTCGCCTTCCACCATCCTGGCAGTCGATTGACATGTCGTGTCCCAAACTATATACTGTATCTAAGAGATATTATTTTCTAGCGGAAATCTTATCTAATTTGTTCTTGAAACAAATGACATTTTCTGCTTCCACCGTCTGCCTCCCTAAGGAGCCTGTCCCGTAATTTTACTGCTTGGAGGGAGAGGAGAGATAGAATAGCTTTGCAAGTGGCTCGGAATATCTCGCTTCCGAATGTCCTTCATCGATTGCCGTGCGGTAAAGCAACCTTCACGTGTTGTTTGAAAGCTGCTGAATCCCAGGCGATGTCCACACCTGCCACCATGAACCGATTGCTACCGAATCAAAACAGCGGAAGAGCTATGTGATGATGGTTGGCTGCCCAAGTTGGCACTGCCTTCATGTGTCTGGACTTAATGATCAAGGGCCCAATATTAGATTTGAGAAATCATACATGTCACCTGGCTAGTGAGTGAGTGCCTTGAATACGTTAGGGGAGATCACAGTTCAGTGCAGTTAAGCGCTCCGAGACCCCGTCTGAAGGGCGCAGTATAAATGCAAGTTGTTGTTGTTGTCTCGTCCTCATCTCCTTCGCATTCACATCCGCACACAACACAGGAGTAGGAACACTGACCGTTGCGTGGTCCTCCCTCTCCCACCCGACACGCCCTTCCTGTTTAAGGTTTCCCATTTGTTGGCAACATCCCTCAGTTTGCCTTTTACTCTCTCTTGGTTCTGATACAAAAATGTTGACACAAAGTTGAAACTCTGTTTCATGCAGTAATGGCCCAAAAGTGCACTGTTTAGTGGACTAAGAGGCACAGAGTCTTAAGTGGGACTTACCTTGCGGTTACATTCCATATCTGTAATGCTCAGCTCTATTGATGGAAGAGCTATTTTAGGGACACTGACTTTACTAGGACTCGAGTGCGAGTAAAGATGGGGAATGTAAATGAGATGTGTGAAAGGGGCAGACTGAACTTTCATGCTTAAATGTTCTTGCCCTTCTGATCCTATTGAAATGTTTTTGGAGGCTCAGTCACTGTTGATACGTCTCTGTGCTGATGGCTTTGTAGGTTGGTGCCCAAATTTAGACTCTTCCGATAGATTACCTCTTATTAACTCATTATCTGCTAAGATATAAGATGATGGGTAAAAGCAGACTGGGATGTTTCCTGATTCTATCCTACTTGTATGATACTCTTGTTCCAATCTTCCACCGCTCCCCACCCACCCCGCATCTCGCTCAGTAATAAAAGTATCGGTCACTTATTTTAGGCAATCTCAGTGCACAGGATTACAATACAGGGCCACCCTGAGTGGCACTGGTGTCAGATGTGAGGCTCAGTTTGTGTTACTTTCTCTCTGCCTCAGGATGTCCGGGGAAAAGAAACAAAGGAAAAGTGGGCGAAACCAAGGAGCGTGGGAAAGACAAACAGAAGAGCAGTCATGAGAAGAAAGGCAAGTTAAAGAGTGAAACAGGGTCCTTATTGAAGCACCTCGGTAAGTCATCTGTCCATTATTGTTTAAAGCAAAAGCATTAAGGAGTAGCATGCTTGTACTCCAGGGCTCTCTGTCACTGAGTGGGACAACAGTTTGTCTATAACAATTCCCACGTTCCCTTATCTTCCATTGGAGCTAGTCCCTTGCTTCCCGAAAGGATGAGAGGTAAATCAGAGGGGATATCATCTCCTCAGATGCTTCTGTATACTTCCTGCACCATCATAACGTTATGGGAGCAGGTTACCTGCCTACTCTATACAGCAAGGACCAATGGCGTGGTGGGCAGGGGAGGCGGTTACTGAAGGGAAGAAAATAACAAATGGTGTGAGTGAGGGGGAACTGATTTCAAAAAGAGTTTGAATTAGAAAGGCAGGGCATCAATTTTTTCACTTTGACCAATAATAGACCAAGATACAGCGCGTGATAACGCAGCGGTTTGGGTCCTTAAACTCAGAGGCCTGAAGCTGGCCAGCAAGTACCAGAGGCCGGAAGTGTTGTGGGACGCTATATAAATGCAAGTTGTTGCTAATTGTTGTGTAAGTCTGCCATGGACCCAAGCTAATCCAGGACATGTTACAGTGGAGTCAGCCTGTATCGGAAACTCAAAGTTTGTAGGTAGCTGTGACGGGGATATGTATGATTTCACAGCACCCATCATACGGCTTTGTTCCAGATCGAAGACCAAATGTTTGCAGAGATTCCATATCTAATCTTGTAGTCATTAGGGAATCCACACATGCTATCAAGAACCTATTCAGTGACTTGAAGCATTGACAACATGACCCGGGGATGCTCTGCATTGTGATCCTATGTGTTGTTAATTTGTCCACATAGAGTCAGTTCCGGGCACCGTTAAATAGGCTGAAAAACCACCTAAAGCCAAATGAACAGCAGCTCATGACAGTTGAGAGAAAGCTGAGAAACTGGTATTGTCTAACATCCTCACATTATCATTATCATTTCCGAATTCGACTTACTTTCTTGACCGAGATGGGTGTGAGATTGTGTTGATGCAGAAGTTGACTCAGGGGTGGGGGGGGGTGGGGGGGATAAGTAATGATAGGATGGATACTCATGCACCACAGTAGACATTTCTATTTCCAGCTCTCTTTAAAATCTTTCCCAATTCAGATTCCTAATCTGTAGCAAATTATTCTTTGCTCAGTGTCCCTATATCATTGCATGTAAGATCACCATAGACAGCAGGAGAGAGGAAACTTTCAGCCATCAGTCTAGGATTAGATCCACTTCTAAAAGGTGGTTGGCCTTTGCACTTAACTCAGATCTTCACCCATTTATAGATGTAAGTAAGCCATCCAGTTTGCCTTTTTGAACACATATGACGAAGTCTCGAAGCAAAGAAGCGTAGAGAGAATGGAATTACTGAAGTGGATCAAGGCTCATTGGCAGAAGAAAGTGAGACATTTTAAATGGATGTTATCAGAACTGGAGGGAAGTGATAAGTTTCACAATTTGCATAAATGACGCTAATAAGGAAGCAAGAAGCACATATGTTATATTTGCTGCTGATTTGCAATTTCAAACGTAGGCGAAAAACACGCGACAAAGACGGATGTTGTTCAACGTTTATGTTGAAGGTTGGAAAATGCCATTTAGGATGGAGAAGTGCTGAGTAACACTCGCCCACACACCACCAGGCGCGAAATGTATAAATTCCGACGGACGGAATTGGATGAAAGTGGTGGAGGAATGGGATAAGGGAGTGGGGCGTTGTTGAGTTAAAATATCTGGAGGGTGTGTGTGATGGTGATAAAGAAAGGCAACAAAGATTTACAAAGAACATGCAGCGTAGAAACAGGCCACTCGGCCCAACCAGTCCGTGCTGGTGTTTACACTCCACACAAGGCTTCACCCATTCCTTATTCCCTCACTGACCCTTCTATTCCCCTGGTCCTCACGTAAAGGTCTAGTTTCTTCTTGAATGCATCTGTACTGTTTGATTCAACAACTGCTCCAGACACAATCTCACTACCTTCTGCTTGAAGTACAGACTCCCCAACTAGTGGGAACAGCCTATTTATGTCAACCATATTGAATCCTTTTATGATTTTAAACTTCTATTAGCTTGCCCCGTTAAACGTCTCTTCTCTAGCGAAAAAATGCCTAACCTATCCAGTCTGTCCTGATAGCAGTAACCTAACAGCCCTGGTATCATCCTCGTAAACCTACTCTGTACTCCTTCCGTCGCTGCTTTTGCTTCTTTTAGCGTGGAGACCAGAATTGGACGCAGTACTCCAAATTGGTCTAACCAAGGCTTTGAAGTTGGGCCTGTTGGCAGGGTGTGTAGCGTATGTACTACGAGCCAGGTCTATCAGGAAAATGGGTGGAGCTGGTCAAACCGATGTCTCATAGCACGCTCCAAGCTGACAAGAGAAAGTCCAGATCTTTTATTCTTTCATCATGTGATTCAGAGCTGCATCGGAGGCTAGATCACACAAATGAAACAATAGCGTTTCCACTGTGTCGCTCAGTGTCTGTCTGTCTGTCTGTCTGTCTGTCTGTCTGTCTGTCTGTCTGTCTGTCTGTCTGTCTGTCTGTCTGTCTGTCTGTCTGTCTGTCTGTCTGTCTGTCTGTCGGCTTGACTGAGATCGTGAATGTGTGGTATGGGGAATACAACGAGCAATCCCACCCCTCACCACTCGATGGCGCGGTATCAATACGCTGCCTCCGATCGGTACTGTACAGAATCCCAAGGCAGATTGAGCTTGTGGCACATACATAAGACACGTGGTCAAACAATTCTTATCCATGGTTCCGAGCTTCGCGTCATACGACACAAGGAAAGGGTTACAGAGAGAGACTTCTGGCTTAAATTAATATGTCACTCAGTACCTTGGAGGCAGGAAGCAATTCCAAGTCTCTTTGGCAAGGTCCCTTAAAGGAGGAGCTGGAATTAAGCAGTTGACGTTGAGAGTAAATCTGGTTTGCAGCATCGGACTTGGATTTCTACAACACCATAGTCTGACCATGACCGACTCATTAATCATGTCGTCACTTCTCGACCTTTTGACTTGAGCATCTGGTCACTGGCTTGCCTTGCCGGAGAGGCCATCCCACCACCTGACTTGCTTGGGAGGTTGTGAGGACATGTTTTATGTCCCCGTTGTCCTTTGACAGCTTGGGGCCTGGGAGAGTTTGGGGGTGGGGGGGGGGTGGTGGTGGCATCGTAGAAAATTAGCGGAGATAGAAAGATTCAGGTTTCAGAGGGGATGAAATTCTTTTAATGTGTTTTTTTTAACCTGGATCAAAATGCGAAAGAGTGAGTATCAAATCCATGACCGACTCATTAATCAATTCAAACGTAGGTGATGCAGTGCATCAGCACCTTGAACTCTCACCTCTGAGACCTGGTTTTAAATCCAGCCCAGACTGTGTTTGGTGAACAACAATAATATTGAGGTCTAATACACACTGTTTGTTAAACTAGAAGACAGTGTACACAGGCCAAAAGATTTGCTAATGTCGGTGATGATAGACCATGCTATTGGGATATTTTGCTCATGAGCAGTAAAAACAATAGGTACAATTTCTTTTTTGAAACAAAAATAATGGATGAAACCCTAAGAGTAACGAAAATGGTTTGCTTACGCTGCAGGAATCTTTGTGCTCAATTGTATGCCACAAACTTATTTTCTCTCTGATAGAGCCTTCAATTTGATGGTGGCTTGCCCTGAAACTGAGCAATAATGCATTTGGTGGGGAGAAATCGCAGCTGGATCTAGATTTGTTTACGATATTTATCTAGCATTTTACAGCATCCAAAATTTAGCAAATTATTGAATTCGGTCTTAGCTTTGACATTGTTTTAAAGAACTTGAGGTGAAAGAACGGTTTCAAAATTAAAGCTGTATTTAAGAATTTTCCCAAATCTGCATGCTGTAAAATACTACAAAGACAGAGTAAATCTTGACACAATCTGGATCATGTTGTGGGTTGGGAAGTCGCAGGGAGTTTAGACTTATTCTACACTTGTGTGCATGACTATAAAATACGCAATCACTCCACTATACAGTGTAACCTGTTAAGCACTCTGAGATATCCTCCTGACGTGAGAGGTGCTCTATTAAATGTAATTATTCTGTTATTAAATGTCATTGTTATTTTTCCAGGCTCCATTCCATTAGATGGGGAACTTCTGAAAAATTGGCTGACACAGACTGTTCAGGTTAAGACAGAAAACCTCCTGAGCCACTGGTCATTAAATAGCAGTCCAGGAACCGAGGAGACAACAAGCTTCCTCTCGAATGAACTGCTACAGGACGAACAGTCGTTACTAAGCATTGGTGCCATGAACCGTGCCACAGATGCTCCAGCAGAACCATCCTACACTCCTAAGAAAAAGTCCAGACACAAACCACGGGAAAACAGCAATCCTAAATCCTTAAAGGATCGCACCAGCATCGTTCAACCCAAGAGTCTACACAAGAAGCAGATTGACCATCCACAGGATGGCATCTTCTGGCCTGATTCTCCCAATGAACTTCAAAGCCAAGATATTTGCACAGAAGACTTAAAAGCGCTGGGTTCAAAGACCAATGGGAGTCACAAGAAGGCCAGCGAAGTGAGAAAGTCCAACAAGAAGCAGGGCTCTCATCATTCCTGCTCCAAGACAGCTCTTCCCAGTACATCACCGAATGGGAATACTGGTCAGATCGGTGAAACATTGGATTATTTTGTCTCTGCTTCGCCCAAACCCAGCTCTTCAGTTAAAGTGCCTAACACGTCCACAAGCCCCAAGTCGTGGGTAAGTTTCAAAATTCCAAAAGCAAGCAACAGGAAGTCGCAAGTGCAGAAGCAGGATTTGGGGAATGGGTTCGGACAGAGAGAAATGTGTTCGGACAGAGAGAAAAGGCCCAAAGAGCCAACAAAGGTCAAACTGCTCTTTGAAAACGAGACAGACGGCTACTTCTCTGATGCTGAAATGAGTGACTCGGACACAGAGTCCTCCGGTGACAGGAGCCTTCAGCGGCTGAATGCAGATAATGTGGTTGTCCACCGGAAATGCGGTGGTGAGGTGGTAAGAAGGAGCATTCTGGCTTCTTAAAGCATCCATTTTTTTTTGGAGATGGAATGTTCACATGGCTCAAATCCTTGGTTATAACTCACTCTCATTTCCGTTAGTAATCTGACCTACTCATTGCTTACTCTGCAAGTACCAATTTAATGGGTAAAGTTTCAGTGTCACCAACTTTCTCTTCTCTGTCCTCCAGCTTTCACGTTAACTAGAATATCTGCGTCCAGTGAGCTTGTAAGATCCTAGTGAATAGAAGCCCTTTCAAATAGTATGTGACTTTCAAATAGTAATGTATCAGCATGCACCTTGCATTGCTTTGCATAGTATATAGTGTGTAGTTTACGTTCCAGTGGATGTGTTGGGAAATTCTTTCCTAATACAATGAGTGGTTGGTGCCAGCCTCTACTTCAGGTATCACATTGCTGTCCCCTTCATTATTACTCCATCTACATTGTGTTGTTTGTATCGCAGACGATACCAAGAGGCAAAAATCTAATGTTACCTTCCAAGAAACTATACACTATATATTATAAAAGATAACCAACAGCTGGCAGTAAGTTTAAGACAGTGATTGGTTGATTGATGGATTGATGGATGGATGGATCGATCGATCAATCTATCGGTGGGGGGATTGTGATTGTGCACACTGAGTTTCTACTCATGATTTGTGGTATCATCAAAACAGAGTGAATCAAATTACTGTCTTATAACTCACCACCGGCCGGCCACCTACTATCCTACATGTGATACAGTCTGCTCATAAGGGTCTAAACAGCGAGCTACAACAGTCACATATACAATATTTCTGGGGTGGGAATGATCGTTGCTGAATCCCAGTTTGCAGTTTGCTGTGGCACGATGATGATTTGGGAGGCAGATGAGGGGATAAACATCTGGCCCTGATGATTGCATTTAAACAAACAAATAAAAATCCCATTTGGTGATGGTTAAAATATTGAATGTGGAAAGAGTTGCAAAAAAAATTTCAACAAAGAAATCGATTTTCATGGCATTTACCTATTGAATAAAAAAAGCACAAATAGACACTTGAGGGAAACAGTCACATGAAGGTGAAGTTACTGAGTTCACAGCTGCTTGGTGAAAGCGAACATCTTTTCTGTACATTTATGAAATGTTAGAAAGCAGACAAATGTCTAAATCGAAACCACAACAGTGTCTGAATATGTAATGATATAATAGGATTGTTATACCCAGTATTACACAGTGTATTATTATGTAATATTCAGCATTGTTTAAACCCACAACTCAAAGTTTATTTATAGATTTATAGGATTGTTGCATCTAGTAACACACTGTGTATTATATTGAAGAGTGTTTTATCCCAGTATCTCTGTAAAACAGAGTGCTTTATCATATTACCAGAGTGTTATACTCTGTAATACAGAGTGTATGAATACTCACTAAAACACACATTTCCTATCATTTAACTTCATTATGCACTGACCCAGCAGCATAATATTATAGGACCCCCCTCCCCCTCCTCACACTTCCCCACCCTCTCCCCCTGCAATTACATGATATGGAGCTACACAGAATTATTGGTCAACAATAGCAGGTGGTACATATTGAGATGTGAATCTTGCTGATAAAATTCCGACTTAAGATTTTAAAATATATCTTATTTAAAGAAAACCGAGCAGCAACTAGAAGTGCAATTTGGCTGTAACACTTTCAATGGCTTGAACATTTGTGTGAAGCACTAGCTCCTTGTCCTCATGCTCAGGCATTATTTGTCTCTGTATAACTTGAAGCAAGTATCAGCTACTTCCATTTAAGTAGTTTCCATGGGCAAACTAATATGTTCCCAAGCTCTGCATATCTATTGATTCTAACTGTGCCTAACTGTGAAGCCCTGCAACCTGAATTACAGTCATTTTAATGTAAATTTTAACTGAATTTGCCTCTAATCAAACTAGAAATAAGGCAGAATGTTTTGTTATTGCAACGCTACGCCTTACAGCAAGCAGCAGTGAAATTTGGTGTTATCTGATACAAGACAGGAACTTCCTGTCCTTAATATCAAGGATTTCCTGACTACAGGAAGTTTCTACTAACTCAAACATTTAACTAGAACTACCGTAATCCACACAGTTACAGCATGGCCAAGACACAGACTCTAGCCCCAAGACCTGAGGTTAGCACCTTATGGTATTCAGCACCAGTTTCCTTGCTTATCTGGCTACAATTAATAACTGAATTCTTCTGCACTTTAAGCAGACTGTTTAAAATGAACAAAACCAAATCTGCTTACAATCCACTTTTGTGGTACGAGATCTCAAATCAAGTAAAGTTCCACTCCATTCATGATGCCGTGAGCCGTGTCTCACACCACAAGCCAAATAACTAATTAAATGGAAGAAACTGACAAAAGTTTAAGGCAAAGGGAAAGTTCGCTCATGCAGATGAAGATTGCCATGAGAAAGAGCCGGACCTTTCTATGTGTTTGTATATTCACTGGCAGTAATAAGCACTTCTAGGTCAGATCTGACATGGTTCAGCACTAATTCTGGGATCCACTGCATTGGACAGCCAATTAAACCATGAAGAAGCCCAGATAAACCATGCCGGATAACATCACCCACCTAACACGAGTCCTAAGTTCTGCTTCGAAACCAATTGTCACACTTACCATTTTTTTAAAAAAAAAACATTACAATCGCAAGATAAATTGTCATTTCCTACAGGGTTTGTTGAGTTAACTATTGTTAAACTAAAGTTGACATTTCTTGCCTTGAAGTAAAAAAAAAGTCGACAGGTGTTGACTCTGTTGAATTGTCTTAAGATGTTTACCGTTGCCATCTTCTAAATGCTTATCGGATAATGGTGTTCTGTTGACACCCTACAGGTGGATTCTCTTTTAAACTGAATCGGGGGTTGAGGCCTTTTAAAGCGCGTCAATCTCCCTCTGCGTATAGACGTCGAGGAAAAACTCACACAACTTGTATGTGAATATATTTGTTCAGATTATAAGAGGTTTATTTTTGGTAATCTCGAGATATCTTGTGCTCATGTTGTATCACGTGAGACACTGGAGTGAGTGGAAGAATCAGCGCCTTCCTCATCACAGACTCCTTATTCTTCCCTTTTTGCACCTTGCTGAGCATTCCTGCTTCATTTAGGCTGCACCTTAGACACTTGTGGTATTGTCGAGGCTACCTACCTATATTCCCACGAATGTGTTCCTTAACAATAAGAGTACTTCAGCAAAACACGAAACCTTACTCATCCATTTCATCTGAAGGTCATCATTTCAGCTTATTATCAACTATACCTGTCACTCCGCAGTTTGTGGGTGCGCCATTTGACTTGTTTAAAAGACACCAAATAAATGAAGGTTAAAAATAGGTAGAATTTTAAGAAGAAATTCAACCCAAGTCCTCATTGTTATCCGGTGACGCTGTGTCAAAGTGCGCTTGTGTTGACATTGAGGATTATATTTTTTAAGGTTAGGGTCAGTTGCGATGCCTCACAGTCAAACCAACGTATGGGTTGATGCAGTCCTGATAACAATGGTGAAGAGCCACAAGTTGCTGACATTCATGGAATTGCACCCACCCAGCACAAGGCACTGTCGATGTCAAATCTGGATGGAAAAGTCTGGTGCCAATATCATTCGATGTTTCTGGTGCATTATTGCTAATTGTGAACCACACTTTGTGACCTATAGTTACGGAAAAAGAGTGGAAATGTGCAGCATATATCGATTATTTTCTAATCTCAATATCGCAGAGATTGAAGTATTGGTTGTAAATGCAATAGGCCCTACTGGGAAGCCGAGCTTTGGTGTCCACTGCTGGAGATTGCAATCCCAGAAGCAGACAATTAAACTTTGTTTGAAGCTCAATTTGAAGCTTAAGTGACAATTCGGCTATTGTCAGACCTCGAATGAAGTGTTGTCGAGATGCAGACATCCCAAACTCCTCCTCCCCGATAGGTGTCATCATCACATTACAACACAACACAACACAACACAGTCTGGAAAGAATGTAAATTAGGCATAGAACTGTTCACCAGGACCAACAAACTGAATTCTCAAAATCACAACTCAACACAAATATTCTTAATTTGTGCTTTTCTTTTTCTCCCATGATGCTGATTCATAAAGAACACAGAGTTTATTCCAAGTAAAGTCGCTTCATTGCTTTAAGGGTAAGAGGTCTATTGATCGTAGACTAAGAAATGGTAAAACTTCCGCAAAGACCCTCTGTTAATATTTGTTCAGTGTGGTAGATAATAAACAACTTATTCAACAACATAGGAATGTCCTGATAGTAAAATAATCATGGATTAGCACAATATAAACCTGTGATTATTGTACTGTCTATATATATGTTGTACTAATAGTAAAGCATGACTATTGTAGTAGCCATTGCTGATAGGCAAGATTTCAGTGACAATGAAGTGCTTAATGACCCTTTCACCTCAGTATAGAAATAGTGTTTTTTGATAGAATACAAGGCCAAAGTGTTGTAAAGACGAGAATGTAATCTGGGGTTAGGGCATTTTTGCCTTTTACTCCGGTACTCTTTCATGGGTCAAACTGTCAGTGCATGAGAGCAAAATCCTCTGATTTAATGGTGCCTTGATGGTGATTTAATGCCCTATTGGGGATCCAAAAATACTGAACCCTTGATTCGTTAGACAGTGACAGGCTGGACACTCATGGCAGTCAGATTTACATTCTAAGAGCTGAGCAGGTCGCTCTCCTTCTACTACTCCAGGGCGTGGAGAGTAGGAACCACAGTGAGAAATGAAAAGATCAGAAAAATGAACTGGATGTTTTGTGACTAATATCTATGAATTGCTTTTGGCTCCTACATTGTCAAATTAGCCTGTTTGAGGAGGGTGGCATTTGCTGGTCTGTATGAGATTACCTGGTCCTTCATATGCAGCAACAGCAATGCTGACAGCCAATCGATCTGTTAGTTTTTTTTTATATTCTGGCCCTTTCAACAATTGCCCTTATAATCCAAAGGAATTCTGTCGTGAAATCCCTTCTGCACTGCTTGTATCAACTCCCTGGTGATTCACGTGCAATGTATCATCGCAGAGAGTGCAAAAGACATCAAACAATCAGCAGCTGTTTGTTTTCATCAGATCAACGTCCTTTTTAAAATCGTTGACCTAAAGTAAGGCCGGAACTGTAAGATTTGAACAGAGGTGAATTGATTCGGAAAAAAAAGTGTCTTTTTTTTAAAAAATATGTGGGAGAAATCCCACGATTTTCTCTTCAGTTCCACTGTTTGTCTAGCCACACATCAGCCGAGAGGACAAGTGATATGCTCCTTTACTTCTGCCAAGCCAATGATGCTCTGGGTTGGTCATTACATTATAAGTAGCATTACAGTGGCCAAGGGCAAAACTCTCCCATTCCATCCCATCTTAAGGCTTCCACATAGTGGCTCCCTACAATACTGCTGATGAGGTCAACAACTCACCAGTGTGTGGGTCAATAACCTCCTCACTCCCCTCATCTAATTGTCGTAACACTGTGTTAGTACTTCATTACATTACTGCACTTAAATGTTCTGTTTGCATAGACCAATAGCTAACCATTCTGTGCAGGTACGCTGCTCTATTTTGTTTGCACACAGATTAACCTATTAATTCAGTGTTTGATAAGAGCGCACAAAAAGATAATTATTTGTTCTTTTAAGTCCTGCTCGGTCGCCGTTCCGTCCGTGCTTATGTCTCCCTCCCACGGACATTTCCATTCCGTGCACTTTCCTCCCACTCAAGCTCTACGTTCTGAAACCTGACTGAGACTGTCGCTCAGCTACACGTTCAAGACCAAAAGAACAGGTTCAGAGAGAAAGCGGGTGACTGGCGTGTTCCGGGGGGGGAATATAGGGTGGTCTGGACTCCCACGGAGTATGTGTGCCCTATCCCGTTAAGCCTTGTTTTCAGTTAGATGCTACACATACTCCCTCTAGTGAATAGTTGCATTTTTAACTTCAGTCGTGCCCACAAAATGCTTACAGAAAAGTAAGTGAAAGTGCGTTTGAATTAAACCTCTTTTTCTGAAATGTACCGAGCATTTGTGATTCATATCAATCAATACATAATCTATTCGTCGCTCTCAGTGTTATTTTTCATTTACTTACCGTTTGGTCCACATCTTCCTATTTGATAACCAATTTCTGATAGATTTATGCATCGAAACTCTCCATAGAACTAATAATAGATTCTAATCAATTTCACACTGCAACTATGATTTCTGCATGTTGATGGCTTATGTATCCCTTTTCATGATTCAGGAATTGTTTCAAACCATAGAACTCAAATCCGCATATCATTCTCATTGTTCTCAGAGTTTATCTTGTAATAAATCGGTTGATGTGGTCGGTGCAAGTACTGTAAGATTTGTTGTATAAACGGCACTTAAATTTATTTAGATTTAGACACCAGTGCAAATTATACACCTGATTTTGTGGTAAACACCCTTCAGGGAAACCGTTTTAAACTAAGAATAAAATAAGGATTGTCAGACATTAAATAGTGACTTGTTCTACAAACAAGCGGCTACTGGTTTTGTGTCTTTTTTTTCACTCTCTCAGTGTCAAACTCATTCATCGACCCATACCCCCAAATGTTTGTTTGTTTGTTTGTTTGTGAGTTCCTACCCCAGAATTGTAAAAGTTTCACAACGTAATTTGTGAAGGAGTCAAAATTATTGTTGGAGGAAATACCTCATCAGTTTTATTGTTTGACGTAAGCATTCCAGACCTTTCTAAAGCCTTAGTAACATGTGCAGCAGCGTGTGTTTTGTTGATAGTTTTTTACGTGACTGTCATCAGCTTGCCAACAAAGCTGGTGAGATGACACAACTCTACTGCGCTGATTTTGTGTGTGGGGAAGCAGTGGGGAAATCTCTGTTACAATTTTCATAGCAGCAAATGTCTGGAAGAGTTTTAAAGTGCATTTCGAGCCTCTTCAAAGCCATGTTTTAAATGTCACAATCGGCACAGAAGAACCCCAAACAGATCCCAGTTTATTTTTTTGTTTTCAAGATGTTTCTTGTTGAGGAAGACGACATCAATCCTTGTTGAAGACAACGCATATTCTAGGAACATTTCCACACCAACTATCACACAGCCTCAATAAGACTGACAATTTAGTGCCAAATTTTGACTTTGTATATATAAACCTAATACAAACCTTGCGTTTGATGTAGCGTCTTTCACATCAGGAGGACACCTCAAAGTGCTTCACTGTAAAGTGCAGTGACTACTTTTGTGGGCACACTGAGATCAGAGTAAAATAAAGAAAGCTTTAAACGTCCTATACCGAGCACACAGTGTCCAAAGTGTTTCCTTCCCCAAAATGTTTCATTCCTCATCCTCTCACTTGGACGATAACTTAAAAAAAAGATTTTAAATCCTCTTAAAAGATGAAATGTGACAGGATTGAGACCAGCAATCTGGCTTTAGGAATGTTTTTCTTTCAAAAAGACTGGCATACGCCTTAGTGGCCGTCCATTTTAGTCTCTCGGGCGTCTTCTGAAAGATGGCACCCTTCCCTATCGCGTCTAAATGAATTCCTCACCACCTTTTAAAATGTTTTGTTCGGAGGCTCTTGTCTTTGCCCCACAAGATCAGAAAAAAAAAAGCAAACGTTCGCTCAGTAAAGCTGCCCGTCTTGGAACGGTTTAACGGATACTTGGGTGCAAGTAACAGATTGTAAACTCATTGAGGGTTATAGTAATGTTATATCTAATCTTGAGCAATTTACTGTATAACCATTGTGTGAATCTGCTGGGTGACAGCCTTGAAATTGCTCACCAGTTTGGTATCTGTTTATCATTTACACTGATTTAATTTTATGGGTGATTTAATTCAGTCGGGAACTGGTTGGGACATTCAAGGCCCATTGTGACAATCCATTAATGCAATTTTAATGGTGAAATATCTTGGAAGCAGAAAATTTGCCTCGATTCTTACTTTTTTTAAAAAAAACTGAACACTTAGTCACTTGAACAAGAAAGATTACAACAAATTACCCCGGTGTGTCCAGCCTGGTGATGTTGATTTGATGTTGATTCCCACTTACTTTTATAATAGGACGTTTGCACTACTTATGCGAATCAAATATCGCCACTGTCGACCATTGATTTGGAGTCATTAAACAGGTCGTTGAGCGAGCAGTCAGGCCAGGTCGGAATCGTAACCGACGCAAAAATATATTCAAGCAACGTGACAAAATTACCGGGAATTTCAGGAAAAGAAAGGCAGAATGAGTTTCCGAAATGATAACAACAATATTATTATTACAGTTTCCGAAGTAGAGTCAGGCCGAGACTCTGAGGATCACCTGTGCTTACGTAATTATTGTAAAGGACGTCGTAGGTTTGGTAACGTAGCGTAGACAGAGATATACATTACAGAATAGAAGAAACCTTTTTCCATATTCAAGCTTTAGGCTGTAGTTACAGTACGTACCTACCATAGGAACAAACAGAACCTACTGAACACACTGCCGTTTACTAGAGCTTGTTTCAATGTGCTTATTAAATGGTTACAATATTATCCTCAATGGCGTTTGCTGATACTGTATTCCAATCCTAGATCACACTGCCTGCCGAGTAGTTTCTTCCGTCATATGTACTCATTACAGGAAACGCAAAGGAAGAGGATTCGTGTCGGTTTGTCTGCGTTGAGTTGCTTCCTACACCACATGTAAAATAACACAACTCAACACGAACCGCAGGAGATCACACAACTGTGGCGAGATGGAGGCCTTCTGTGTCTTTTGTTTCAAAGGAAAAGTGATGTGCCATTTGTTAATAATAATAAAAAAAAAGAGAATAATGGAGATGATATATATATAAAAGAAGAAATGCTATTTTAAATTATTTTTTGGCTTTTTTCGCAATATTTATTTTCTTGTATTAGAGTACTTATAAAATCCTTTGTAGAGAAGAAATGTATTTTCCATTAGTGCAAAAGAAATCGTATAAACTGCAAACCTATAATCTTTTGTACATTTTCCATGTCAGCAACCTTTTAAAGCAATATGATGTTCCAGAAGTTGTTTTTACTTTGTGCAATTTGCATTGCTGTTAGTGTCGACTTGGAATCCAATAAGTTCTCAAATTGTTCCCCTTTGGATCACAATTTGAGCGCAAAGTTGCACTTCAGAGTCCGCGCGAGAGAGAGAGAGAGAGAGAGACCTTGTACAGAGACAGCGATTACTAAGTTTGACAACTTGGCATTTGTCAGTTCATTGGCAGCATACAATTAATAAAGCAGTGTTTTACAAGTAACGTGTTTGTTGTCTTTCGCTCTTTGTTTTCTCAGCAATAATAATAATACTAATAAGCCTTGCATTTGATGTAGCACTTTTCACGTCTCCTAGACGTCTCCAAGCGCTTCACAGAATATGCTGCAAAGTCTTCACCTTCCACCCTGGAGGTGAAGGTGTGCTGGGCAACAGTTCCACGGGCGCAAATAGACCTTTTGTAACTTACTGAGGAGACCATTTCTCAGGTGTCTCGGTAGTCATTCAAATAATGCGCAGGGTGAGGGGGTGGAGAGAGAATTGCAGCAGCGTCCAACACTAACCAAACACACTCGCATTTATACGGTGCCATCATACATTCTGCTAACGTTACCTTTGCCCCATTATACGTTTAGGAATCAGGAAGCTACTGTTTCGAATGCAAAAATGCAAACAACTACCAGCTTGAGCAAGCGTTCATCCCTTCAAGGCAGCTGAGCTCCATCTCCTTCCAGTGCCACACTAGCAAGTCAGTCAGTAAGTTATTAACTTATTAAAAACATCTACATATATATATATACATATATATATTAACCTGTAATTAATTCCTTTTGGAAAACAAATGCAAGGATTTCAAAATAAATAAATAATCATAATGTAATCATAAATAATAAATAAATTAAATAAATAATCATAAATCCACGACTCTTTGTGGGACGCTGCTGTGTGTAATTTGCTGCTAAGTTTCACCCACAAAATATACAGTCAATTCACTTTACAGTATATTCTGTGAAGCGCTTTAATAATAATAATAATCCTTGCATTTGGTATAGCGCTGTTCACGTCGGGAGGACGTCCCAAAGCGCTTCACAGAACACTGTAGAGTGAATTGACTGTATATTTGTGGGCGAACGCGGCAGCCAATTGCGGACAGCAATGTCCCACAAACAGTCGTGGATTGAAAATGACCAATTTATTATTGTTTTTGGTTTTGGAGGGATTATTATTAGGCTCTGTGTGGAGTAAGGAAACTTGCCCGAGGTTTCGCCCTCTGCCTGGAATTGAACTCAGGTCTCTCACTTGCAAAGCGAGTGCTCTAACCACTGAGCTCCAGGACTCCACAGAATATACTACTAATTATAATAATCCTTGCATTTGTTATAGCGCCTTATCAAGTCTTTGAAGACGTGATAAGGCACTATATCAAATGCAAGGATTATTATTATTATTATTATTCGCAACATGTCAATATTCTCATTAGTTTTGGCAAACCAACAGCCTGATAAATGATGGATCACTTTTTGAGACACGGTGTTTATAATGGTTCCCCATTGCTGGAGAAGTCGTTGCTCAGATCAGTAGGGTGTAAACCACCAGTGTAATGTCAGAGCCGTTGTAATGCTTCCCAAATTGGCAGTGATGAGCTTTAAAATGGGACTCACCAGCAGCCCTGGCGAAGCAACTGATTCGCGGACATTAAATAGAAGAACGAAACATTGCTGTGAGGAAATAAGCGAGCGAAGCACTTGCCTCGCTTTGAGATCCCAAAGCAAACACTGGTCCGCCCTTGTCTGAGGTTGGAGTTCGTGTCCTTGATGATTCCCCAGCTTCTGAAAAACTGACCAGCCCGTTTACACTGTACAGGTGGTGGGTCTTCGTTCACTTCATTCATTTCGCTGACACTGCTTATCGACACTACAAGGTGATTACAAAGTCTCCTTACCCCAATTTTTTTTCTGACCAACACCTGAATTACACGGCGGAATGGATGATAATTGCGTGTAGAAGTACTTCACTGTATTCAGTACAAGTGTATTGCGTCTGTATTCAGACGTCCAGACGATCCAGTGTGTGCGTGTGTGTGTCAATTACACAGAGGTACCCATTCCTGAAGACTCCTTGCTGTGGACTTACAACCTTGTCACACTCTGAATGACCCTCATCAACCATCTGAGGGTTTGTGGCGCAATTCACTCCTGTCTACATACACTGGAATGGGTCAGCAAGTAGTAAGTGGCTGGAGAAATAATTAGTGACAGGCTCCCGGTGTAAATCAAAAGTATTGATGTGGAATGACAAGCCCCCAAAAGTGTCAGAATTCAGGCAGAATTCTTGCCTGAATCCAGCCATCGCCCAGAAATTATACATTTCACCATAAGGATAATCAAAATTTACATCGCATCCCATAATAAAATATTAATAATAATAATAATAATAACCTTACAAAACATTCTCAAAAACTTCAATCAAACCAGATCCCAACAACTCGCTGTGTGAAAAAAAAATTCACCTCCCCTCTGTTTCTTTTAACAACTATTTTAAATCAGTGCCCTCGGGTTACCGACCCACCCGCCAGTGGAAATAGTTTCTCCTCGTTCACCCTATCGAATCCCCTCATAATTTTGAGAACTTTCTATTAAGTCTCCTCTTAACCTTCTCTGCTCCAAGGAGAATAATCCCGGCTTCTCTCGCCTCCCCTCATAACTGAAGTCCCTCATTCCTGGTACCATCCTGGCAAATCTCTTTAGCAGTCTCTCCAATGCCTTGACATCCTTCCTAAAGTGTGGGGCCCAGAACTGAACACAGTCTCTCGCTGAGGTCTAACTAGTCTGAAGTCAAAGGTCTGGAGGATTTGGCAGTATTTGGTTTGAACATTACCAACTGCAACCAATTACATTCTTATGCCCTGTGTCTAAGTCAATAACTATTAACTGTCTGATCAACTTTTGTACTAGATTGGACTATATTCTATAGCTCTTAAGAGCAAATGATTAATTTACCGTAGTGTATAAGGTTTGGGATCAATATTAATGATGTGACTGTGGATTACTAATGGCACCAATTACTCTTAAGGCTACACTGTTGTTGGCAAGTCTGTTCAATCTTATTGCATGTGTCGTTAAGAAACTTTCCTCAGGAGCTCAATTTTAATCAGTGCTCTACCCAACATGGCGCACCTGATCAATAGTGACTGAGAGAAGCTACTTCAACATGGAGATCTGATGACTGCATGATATCAATCTGGTCTTGTTTGGGTCCTCAGTATTCTTGTTTAGAAGATCATTGAGTTTATGACCATCTTAAGAAGCCAAGGTACGCACAAGGTAAGACTCACAACCACCCAATTAAAGGAACCAAAGGGATAGAAACAGGAGGAGGCCATTCAGCACCTCAAGCCTGTTCCGCCATTCTACAAGATTATGGCTGATTTGTACCTCTAGTCCAATTACCTGCCCTTGTCCCGTATCCCTTGATACTCTAACCCAACAAAGTGCTATGCACCTCAGGCTTGATATCGAGAAAAAGAATATAGACATTTTTTTTCCATCTTACATCCACTCGTCAGTGTGTACGAATGAATGGACTGGGTTCCTTTCAGCCTTTACTCTACACGTCCTCCCTAACTCTCTTGTTATTTTGTAGCCACAGAATTGTTAGTGGCAATAAATCTACTTGGGGGAGAGATAAGCGGGTTCTTCTTGGAGCTGAACTTGCTTCACGTTGAGTGTCTGGCGATAAAATATCGGAATCATGCCAGCTCTCTCTGGTGGATTCCCTGCCCCCAGTGACTGGTTTGCCTCTCCAGGTCCTGCCGGTGAGTCAGGTTGGCTGTGCTGTCATAATAATAATAATAATAATAATCCTTGCATTTGATATAGCGCTTTTCATGTCAGGAGGACATCCCAAAGTGCTTCACAGAACACACTGTAAAGTGAATTGACTGTATATTTGTGGGCGAACGCGGCAGCCAATTGCGCACAGCAATGTCCCACAAACAGTCGTAGATTGAAAATGACCAATTTATTATTGTTTTTGGTTTTGGAGGGATTATTATTAGGCTCTGTGTGGAGTAAGGAAACTTGCCCAAGGTTTCGCCCTCTGCCTGGAATTGAACTCAGGTCTCTCGCTTGCAAAGCGAGTGCTCTAACCACTGAGCTACAGGACTCCACAAACAGTGGAGTCCTGTAGCAACAGGACTCATCAACAGTGCCCTAGAATATCGCCAACCTGCCTGGCTCAGGAACTGGACTAACAAGACCATCACAGAGGTTTGACTTGATCCTGACATTCCTTTGCCAAACATGTCACCTTGGAGCCAGTTCAGCTCCAAGGAAACCCCACTTACCTCCCCCTCCAAGGAGGATAGTTCACACTATGTGCCCAGTACGTAACCATTACATTGTTCCATTTGTCTGTAAAGAGTTCATTTCCACGTTTTATTCATGTTTAAAATGAAAAGTGTTGGTTCCTTTAAAGAGGCTTATCCTCATATCCTCACTGAACTCCTTCTCTCAGGGAAGCCTTGCCTGTCAGACACCATTCAATGCATCGCCTCGCTTCAAATTATTGTTTCATTGGAGCATCTCATGACTTATGTGTTTTATATCATTATAAATTATGGAGTCCTGTAACTCAGTGGTTAGAGCACTCACCTCGCAAGCGAGAGGATCTGGGTTCAATTCCCGGGCGGTGAAACACTGGGCAAGTTTCCTTACTCCACATGCCCCTGTTTACCTTGCAGTAAGCAGGAACCCGGTTGTTAGTCAATTGACGGATCCCATTTCCGGGGGTAATAATTTCTTAAAAAAAGTTTTTAAAAATACTAATAATA